CAAGTCAGTCTCCAAACCAAGCTGATGCAAGCAGACGGCAGCAAACAGAAACCAGCCCCTCAACGTGCGCACAGCAGCAGAAGGAGGCCGCAGCTACGCATTTCAAATCTGTTTCGCAGTGCAGTTCGGATGAGGAGGAATATCCCTGTGCTCTGCTCGCCATGGAGCCGGCTGGGGAGGGGCAGCTTGCTTTCGCAAGTCTTGCATACGATTTAGTCAGTTTGCCTTACGTCACAACAGTTGAGACCCACCCATGCATGTCCGCTCTACCCTAACCCCCAGGTACCTACTATATAGGGTACTAGAGCCCCTAGGGCCCTATATAGCAGGTACCTGGCGGGTTAGGGCTGCAACCGGCAATAAACCCATCAGTCTCCACAGGTGCTTGAACTGGGCGACGGAGGAAAACAGACTGGTTCCGACTCAGCGCTTGGGAACGACGTGGGATTCTTGGGAACTTGACCCTTTACAGAAGTGCAAACTCTAAGGGCTTTAGGAGGGACCCTTAATAGGGACCTTCGTAGGTTATTGGGGTTAATATGGAGACTACCTGGCTATATAAGGGGTATATAAGGACTATACAATGGTTATTTAAGGTAATGGGACTAAGGGTCCCTATTAGGGGACCCTCCTACAGTAAAGTCCTTAGAAGCTGGGCCTGTGAGAACCTCCTGGGCAGTAAGCAACGGGAAGTCGGCAGACTCGCATGCCGCCAACGAGAGAAAGGCAGCCTGACGTGGAACAATGTCAACTGTGGTTTCCGATGACGATGTGTTCTTTTTAAAGCTGTCAGCTAAAGTTAGCTCCTTTGTCATAGACTCATAGACATGATGCATGAGTTGACACCGTTGAGAGCAGTTGTGGATGTTTCCTGGTTCCCGAGCAGGAAATCCGTACCATGGACGCTGAGCAGTGCACGATAGGGTCTTCCGAAATACTTGGAACCTTAACATAGGAGCGCTGGGTCTTCAACACTCAAGGATAACGACACAATCTCTTGATATGTTTTGTTGTACTGACTTAGTTTCCTATTCTTAGCAGGACGCTGTCGGCAATGAGTCAGCTACACGACTACATGATGCTTGCAGCAAGTTAATACGATCGAACTGTGAAGACCATCCGAAGGGTCGTCACTGCAGAACAGGTAGCGACTACAGTGACATCAACACAGACCCGCGGCGGTAGCCGTTAAAGCCGAGCGGTCTCCAGGTGCCTGCAGCAACAGGCGAACTCCGTCTCTATTTCGGCGAATGCTTCCTGAGAATGCAGAAACAGTCCCCATGATCAGAAGCAGATTTCTCTGACAGTGTGTATTTCCCGAATTTCAACCACTCAAAATGATAAGCTTTTGGAGTGCTTGGGGAACCATGGTTTTAGCTGCTATCCTACGCATTGATCAGAGAGGTCAACGGAACACCACCACGAAATCACGGCGTTTAAAACTTGAGGCATGCCCCACCAAATCAGGCCACCCCACAGGTGATAAAGAGGTGTCATCACACATCAGTGTAGGAAAGCGGGGCACGAACAATTTCAATGATGCAGGTTGTCACACCCCCATCCATTCGTTTCGCAGCACGTAGCCCCAGACTGCAATGCAAGCACGTGCACTACTGCACACCCTCGACATTTTACGTGGCATCATCACCAGCTGGATCATCAGCATCTACTTCTTCGTGGCTTTCATTCATCATCCTCCACATCATCTTGAGAACCATTCACTGGTCATTTCCCTATGAAGATCATCAGTGTTGCGCAAGAAATCTTGAATAAACATTATCTTTATCAGCAGTATTACCTCGGCTGCCTTGCCAGCATCAGAAAATAGCATTCGTCATTCTGAGGTAATCGCCGCTATTTCGATGTCATTTCTGCGATGACGGCATGAAGCATGATTACCAGTTTCGTGAGGAGTTTAAAGCAATAGCATGCAGTCGGACCGACCATTGGTGGCTCGTGTTGGCAGAGAGAGAAGCCTAATCTCTCAAACCCTTAGCTCCAAACTCTAAACCCTCAGCGCCACTAAAAGCCCTGTCAAGGATGAGGATGTGTGTTGATCTACATACATATATATATATATATATGTATACATATCTAAGTTATTACTGTATATAACACATAGATATATAGTTATGTGGCAGGAACCTTTACGTATAA